TCCTCCTCCACCTCTCCTCCACCTGTCGACTCCTCCAGATCCTCCCATCCGTACCACACCCTGTCCCAGTCCTCTGATGAGGTAACACACAGACAGTTAGCAAAGTCTGTGAGATTACAGTAATTATTGCTGTTTACACTGATAACAACTGTATTTGGACAGTTTACCTTATACACTGATAAACAACATTTATTCTACTTCCATCATTATACAACATATCTGTCAGTTAACTAACAACATAATACTAATTTGATATAATATTGAAATGTATTAACAGTATTAAACTTGAATTTAACAGTTTAATGTATGAAATAAACACTAAATATAGATTATAGATTTGCGAAATGTATTTTAAGCTTTTGATGTGAAAAACAGATGGTTTCTTTAAATAAGCAGTAATTTTATGATTATTTAGAGGTTCCAACTTTTAACATTATTTTATATTAGACATGTAAATTCACAGGATATTTATGTAACTTTATTAAGTTATTATTGTATTTAAAAAATACAGGAAAACCCCGTAAACGTACAGATTGTTTTACAGTGTAAGAGAAACAGAAGGATTTCTATAAAGAAATCTGCTTTTTAACCAAATTATTAAAATGAACTTTAAAAGTGAATTTATTGTAAATATTCATAATGTGACACTGAAGGTCTCTGATTAGCTCCGCCTCCAGTTGATGTAGCACACTATTATTGTTTGTGGTGAAAGCCAACTCTCTCCTCCTCCTCAGCCCTTCGATGACCCGTCCTGTCCCGTGTCCTCGTGGACGACTCAGCAGGTCTGTCAGTGGCTCAAAGGACTGAACATGGAGCAATATGTCCCAGAATTCAGTGCGAGAGACATCGATGGACGGGAGCTGCTACAGCTGGACGGCAACAAACTGAAGGTTGTAAGGAAGACTATCAGTGCCATTTAGGAATGAAAACATACAAATATTATTTAAGACTGAATCATGAAACAATATGTCAAACCTTTTTACTTTTACTTATTTCATACTTGTGACTTAGAAATGTTTAGTTACCGTATTTTAATTGACTATAAAATATAACTTTTTATCATCACATCAGTTCCTTCAGTTTCTTTGTCTTTCGGGCAGTAATGGGCTTCCACATCAATGGGACTACAAAGATTACTGGCTTCACAAATCTGTTTTATTTCCTTAATATTTGTGTCTAAACTTTACTTTTTTCTAAAGTTTTAATAGTTTCATCTCTTTTAGCATCAAATAGCCTAAAAACTCAGAGTAAGAACACAGAAGTTGTCCTAACACCAAACTGACGCTGGTTGTCGCCTGGAGTGTTTACGGTTTAACCATAACTGTGTCCTCTATCCCCGCCCTCTGTCCCCGCCCTCTGTCCCCGCCCTCTATCCCCGCCCTCTGTCCCCGCCCTCTATCCCCACCCTCTATCCCCACCTTCTGTCCCCGCCCTCTGTCCCCGCCCCTCTATCCCCACCTTCTGTTCCCGCCCTCTGTCCCCGCCCTCTGTCCCCGCCCTCTATCCCCGCCCTCTGTCCCCGCCCTCTATCCCCGCCCTCTATCCCCACCTTCTATCCCCACCTTCTATCCCCGCCCTCTATCCCCGCCCTCTATCCCCACCTTCTGTCCCCGCCCTCTATCCCCACCTTCTATCCCCACCTTCTGTCCCCGCCCTCTATCCCCACCTTCTGTCCCTGCCCTCTATCCCCACCTTCTGTCCCCGCCCTCTATCCCCGCCCTCTATCCCCACCTTCTGTCCCCACCCTCTATCCCCGCCCTCTATCCCCACCTTCTGTCCCCGCCCTCTATCCCCACCTTCTGTCCCCACCCTCTATCCCCGCCCTCTATCCCCACCTTCTGTCCCCGCCCTCATCCCCACCTTCTATCCCCACCTTCTGTCCCCGCCCTCTATCCCCACCTTCTATCCCCACCTTCTGTCCCCGCCCTCTATCCCCGCCCTCTATCCCCACCTTCTGTCCCCACCCTCTATCCCCACCTTCTATCCCCGCCCTCTGCAGGGTCTGGGCGTGCTCAATTCGTCTGATCGCAGCACTCTGAAGCGTCGCATTAAAGAGATTCAAACTGCAGCAGAGAAAGAGAGAAAAGCTCTGGACAAGATGGAGAAACAGAAAGAAAAACAACGAAGAAAAGACCAAGAACAACACAGGAACTGACTACCAGGGAGAGACAGAGGGGTGGGACATAGGGCAGTGAGGGGGAGAACGGAGGACAACGAGGGGGGAGGGGGGAGGAAATAGACATTTTGTTGTATTTCAGACGGTTGCTACGGTTACCCTGAAAAATCCATTTTAAATTCTCTCTTTAGTTTTTTCTGCTGCCTTTTGGATTAATTTCAACAAAATCGGACTAAAACGATTTATTGTAAATAAAAACATTGAAAGAAAAATCACTGAAAACAACAAATATTAAATATATCATTTTTTTTATCACTGAATAAAAACTAAATGAGAGAATGAAAGACAATTTGATGTATTTTGCTCTTGTATGTGTTTTGCCCTTTCGGGCCACTGTAGTTTAAAGGACACATCTCCTGTGGTGCTTCGCTTCCCACAATCCATTGCAGAGCTGACTTCTGACTTCTGACTACTTTAAACTTCAGTGTTACATCAGGCCTTTCTTTGCCTCCATAAAAGCACCTGAACACATCATCTAACAGTGAACTCTGATGTCACGTCGTCTGATTTGAGAAGCAGGTTCAGAGTTAAGCCCCGCCTCCTGTGCAGCAGTATCTGACCACACCCCCTCTCCATATGTGGGCGGGGCCAGAAAAATAAAGAACTGGAACGGACATGAGCTGTTTTAAAGACATTAATTTATCTGATTGTTTGCAGCACAACGACATGTTTTACTGTAGGAGAAGGAGCATCAACTGATGACTGACCTTTGACCCTGTGACCTCTGACTCTGTGACCTCTGACCTCCAACTTAAAATGATGATTTCAATAAATAAACCTGTGAGAATCTGGAATCAGTCGACTGATAGATGTCTTTCATTATAATTTTTTTTGACAACAGATCACCTGTCAGTCAAAGAGGAACTGCTGGAGCCAACCTCTAGTGGCCGTTAGAGGAACTGCTGGAGCCAGCCTCTAGTGGCCAGAGGAAAGCCAGCCCAGTGGCCGTTAGAGACGCGGACCAGCCTCAGTGGCCGTAGAGAACGCTGAGCCAGCCTCAGTGGCCGTTAGAGGAACTGCTGGAGCCAACCTCTAGTGGCCGTTAGAGGAACTGCTGGAGCCAGCCTCTAGTGGCCGTTAGAGGAACTGCTGGAGCCAGCCTCTAGTGGCCGTTAGAGGAACTGCTGGAGCCAGCCACTAGTGGCCGTTAGAGGAACTGCTGGAGCCAGCCACTAGTGGCCGTTAGAGGAACTGCAGCCACTGAGGTTGCTGCAGTTGTATAGACCCCATTCAATGTTTGTATACATTGAACGCCTAGGTTGGGTGCGCGTGCAGCATGGGGTCAGAAAAATGCTGCGGCTAATAGACCGGCATATTGTGTCAAGGTATGTCTTTGTCACCACAGGACCAGGAACAGTACCATAATAAACTTGTTTTAGCTAATGGCGATTGTCTGCCTGACCCCGAGCTCCTAACAGAATGGGTAGACAACGTCAGCAATATACAGCTATCTGGTGGACAAGCCAAGTGTTTACATACGCGAAAAACTAAGAGCCCACAAATCGCTAAACACTTACAATTACGTAGTCTGTGGGCATGTCCAGACGGTTTTATATAGCGATATAGGCGATGACTTTTGTGTGTTAAAAGAGGTTTTACCGAGCCAGCACCAAGGGAAAAACACCTCTATGTACCAGCCTGGGTTGTAGCTACATCCATACTGCAGACTGCACCTGCATGGCAGGGTAAGTATTTATCATTGGAGATGATGCACTGTAGACTGATTTCCTTGACTTGATGGGTTTATTTCCATAGAAACCCTGTTGCACTAATACATTCCATATACACCTACTATTAAACGTCATTGCACTTGCTCTCAGTTCAACATAACATAGCATAGCCCAGTCGCTGCTAGCTTACCTCTTCTCTGCTCTGCGTCAATAACAAGTTTAGCCTCCACACAATACCAGTCTGCTTTTCATTTCAGACAGATCCAGTTAATCCATCATTCTTTCGTGAGAGAAAGATGTCCTTCCGTTGTCACGACTACTAATCACTTGTACCCTGCATCCATCACCTTTGCTTCAGGGTAGCTACTGCTAAACTAAACTTGTGTCTGTCATTTTACCAGTTTCCGGCCGCGGAGATGCGTGTAAATCGCGTCAGTGCGTGATGAGGTCAAAGAAAAAAAGAAAAAAAGAAATACTCGGATATGTCATTAAGACACATAACACACGGTTAGAACAGGCATACGTAGCAACAAGTAGACATTCTTGACGATAAACTCTCAGTTTCAATGGAACAACACACAATTCAACGGGATAGAATGACCTTTCTGACCCCGACATGCACAGTGCGAACCTCAAATTTTCCTGTGACGTGACCCGTGAAGGGGTCTATTAGAAATGTATTAAAATTATTAAACTTTAATTTAACAGTTCAATCTGTTAAATAAACAGTTAATATTTGTGAAAGAATTAAAAATGTGCAAAATATATATATTTTCTAAACAGAACGATGTCTGTAAATAATAAATAATAGTGCAGAGCTGAATGGAACGCACCCCGTTTTATTATAAAAACAGACGCACTGATTGGCTGTTAGTGTCTCATCATAAAAACACATAAAAAACATCAAATACAAAACAGGTTCATCACGTAAGAATGTTTACAAACAAACAATAAATAACATCAATAACTCTGTTGACCCACAGGGTACACTGTCTCTTTAAGAGACGTTCAGATTCACACCTGAACACAATGAAACAACTTCCTGTTCACACGGTGACCTGCTCTGACATCATCACTGCTCTGACATCATCACTGGTTGCTCAACTTGAGGAACTTCCTGTAGTGACTCTCCCTCTCTCTCTCTCTCTCTCTCTCTCTCTCTCTCTCTCTCCCTGTCTCTCTCTCTCTCTGTCTCTCTCTCTCTCTGTCTCTCTCTGTCTCTCTCCCTGTCTCTCTCTCTCTGTCTCTCTCTCTCTCTCTCTCTCTCTACTGTTTGTTTAAGCCTCTCTCGTCTCGTCAGAGTTCCTCCAAAATAAATTCACTCAAATGAAAACCATAACATGAAACAATATGTCCGTGCAGTAAATATTATTAATAGTTTAAATGAAATATAAAATAAATTAAATTAATTAATTGTCACTAGAAGCACATTCAAGTTTCTGTGTGCTACCAATAAATATTTACTAATAAAATTAATCAATAAATAAAAAATATGATAAATAACAGCCGATAAATACAAACTGATCTCTACCCAAACATCACGTCTCAAATATAAATAAATAAACAAAAACAAAACATGAAAAACAAATATAATGCACTTCCTGTGGCTGCTTCACAGTAAAAGCATCTGCATGGTTCTCTTACTGTGAAACAGGAGCAGCAGAATTGGCACTAATTACACTCAGTTCTGATCAGATGGTTCATCTGATCATTGATTATTATTGATTATTATAAAACCATTAGTTTGAATTTTAAAACTTCCTTTAAGTAAAACAAACTCAAAGTGTAAAACATTGTTGGTGAAGCAGCTTTTAGTGACACTGACCTTATGTTATGATCAATAAAAAATACTTCATCAATAATGTTTTGAATTTGTGTTGCTGAAACTTTCTGAGTGAAAATAAGTTCCAGTTTTGTTCTGCAGCCGCTGTTGAGAGCAGCAGGTTTCAGGACTCCAACAGGTTCAGACCTGCAGCTCTCAGATTCTCACATTCCTGCTGATTGTGGTCTGAGGGAGTCCCCTTCACAATAAAACTCCTTTCTGTGGCCCTCTGAATCCCAAACAAACACCTCCCAATAAATAAACAATATATAAACAATAAATAAACAATAAATAAATCCTCAGCACAGATTGTTTCTCTGGGAAGACATCTCACTCTGTGCAGCTGACGTACGGCGACCTGCGAGGGAACAACATGTGATCCCTGTCACAAAGGTCACCGGGGTTCCTCCCTGAGGTCACGACCTTCAGACTCCTCAGCAGTGTCCTTGAACACAGTGTGGTGTGGCGCCAGGTGGGCGGAGCTTACAGTGCACCTGCAGCTCTGGGCCTGTAGGTGGCGACGGCTCTCAGGCTGCGGATGAGGTCGTGGCAGAAGGAGCGAAGCTGTGTCAGCGTCAGGTGGACCGCCACCTGGACGTCGTAGTCACTGCGAGAGGTCAGGTCCAGACCGTGGTCCTGATCCACGCCACCACCGGCGCCGAGCTGAGCCGCCTCCCTCATCTACAACAGAGTCAGCTGTTAGCAGCCAATCACAGAGCGGCTGGTGTTAAGGTGAGTGATGTCATGATGTCAGGTGTTACCTTGTTGATGTGCGTCAGCAGGTCTCTGAGGTCGGCTCGCAGGTCGCTCAGTCCGCTCAGTCTGTCAGACAAAACTCCCAGAAGCCTCTGGTACAGCCGGCTGCCCGCACACATACGACTCACACTCATCTCCTGCAGGGGGCGACACACAGGTAACAACAGGTGAGACAGGTGAGACAGGTAACAACAGGTGAGACAGGTGAGACAGGTAACAACAGGTGAGACAGGTGAGACAGGTAACAACAGGTAACAACAGGTGAGACAGGTGAGACGGCTGACAGACTGACCAGTGTGAAGCGCTCTGATGGCGGTTTGAGGACGGGCGCCGCAGGGATTCTCAGTGATTGCATCATCACCTGCAGGTTTGCTGTCTGAGTCGAGGGGTCGAGGGTCAAACCCTGAGGAGGACAGGACGACGTTAGAAACACACGAAGAAGAAGAAGAAGAAAGGAGCCAATCAGAGACGAGCTGAAGCGAATCAGATCTGTGGTTACCTGCGTGTTGACGGTGGCGGCGTGCACGGCGGGGATGTCTCTCAGGATTTTCTCCACCAGGGTCTTCGCTCGCTCGGCCGCCTCTCTGAACGCTGGCGGCGGGTTGGACGGCGAGCTGACGGGAGCCGATCGGACCAGAACTGCAAACAGGAAGTAGTGCAGCAGGGCGACAACTGGAGGCAGGAAGTGGTAAGAGTTGAGTGTACGGAGGCTAAAGACTGCCGTGTGTCTTTATTCTGGCACAAACAACCTTCCATACTTACTGACTCTATTTGAGCTAAATGCTAACAGAATTTAATGTTAATATATTTTAGTTCAGTACGACAGCTTTCATTTTCTCTTACTCAGCAGTTTTGGCACAAACAACCATCCATACATGGTAAAGCTGGCACTAGTAAGCCCCCATACTGGATTTGAGGGATAGAGGTAGAGGGGGTGTGCGCAGGTGATGACGCAGGTTAATGTTTAACAGAAAAGTGGATTTTTAAAATGTAGTTCTGTTACAGTTTGTTGGAGACAGTCAGATCCCATCTGCATTCACTGCTCCACCAAACCCCATGTATATTTCTGCGGATTTAAACCGCCTCTGTGCGCAGCAGTTTTAACGAGAGGAAAAGTTGGTTCTTACCTATCAGAGAGTTCATGTCTGTCAGAGCGGCGGTCTGTCGGTCGGTCTGTCGGTCGGTCTCGGTGTCTGTCCGCCGGTAAACTCGGCAAGTTCTCTTTCAGCTTCCATTTGCAGCAGTTTGGAGCTTTTATCCGCACTCTGTCTCCTCTGGGGGGTTTCCATTGACGGACACTGGTTTTCCGTCACTTCGGGTTTTATCGGGATGACTCCGTAAAGTTGGGAAACTGGTTGCGTCACTGGCGCAGCTCCGCGCGGTGCGCAGAGAGGATCCGACACACCTGCGGGGGTCTTACCTGCGGCTCTCTAACGTCATACTACATATATAAACTTTATAAACTTTACATACACTCTAAATATACTTTATATATTCTTTACATACACTCTAAATATACTTTATATATTCTTTATATACACTCTAAATATACTTTATATATTCTTTATATACACTCTAAATATACTTTATATATTCTTTATATACACTCTAAATATACTTTATATATATTCTTTATATACACTCTAAATATACTTTATATATTCTTTACATACACTCTAAATATACTTTATATATTCTTTATATACACTCTAAATATACTTTATATATTCTTTATATACACTCTAAATATACTTTATATATTCTTTACATACACTCTAAATATACTTTATATATTCTTTATATACACTCTAAATATACTTTATATATTCTTTATATACACTCTAAATATACTTTATATATTCTTTATATACACTCTAAATATACTTTATATATTCTTTATATCTCTGTACTGCAGTGATACACAGACAGTTTCATTAATGCAAACTAACCAGAGTCCGTAAAGAAATAACGTGTTTTAATACCAGCCATTCATTCCTGCAGGAAGTGAGTGTGTGTGTGTGTGTGTGTGTGTGTGTGTGTGTATACGAGTAAGAGTGTTTGCGCGCGTGCATGTGTGCGCACGCTTTATTATTCAGTCTCACTTCCTCCTGTCGTCACGTTTCTTTATGAAATCCTGGAAAAAACTAACTTAAGAATCAGTGAGTCAGGAGAAGATGGAAAAACACGCTGTGTGAAACATAGAAATGTTTTATTATAATAATATATGAATACAATTATAATTATTGTAATTAAATTATAAAATTAATTTATACAGAAATATGAATGTATTAATATAATAATAAATATTAATACAATTATAATTATATTATAAATGAATTTATACAGAAATATAAATGTATTATTATAATAATTTGTTGCTGTGCACCTGTCTCTCTCTCTCTCTCTCTCTCTCTCTCTCTCTCTCTGTCTCTCTGTCTCTGTCTCTCTCTCTCTCTCTCTCTCACCCCAACTGGTCGAGACAGACGACCACCCACCTAGAGCCGGAGGATCTGTCCTAGGTTTCTGCCTTTTAACAGGCAGTGTTTCCTTGCCCTTGTCTCCAAGGTCTTGCTCATGGTGGTACTGTTGGGTCTCTGTAATTAATGTTAAAGAGTTCGGTCTAGACCTGCTCTATTTGAAAAGTGTCCTGAGATAACTTCTGTTATGAATTGGTGCTATACAAATAAAATTAAATTGAATTTGAAATTGAATTAATAATAAATATAAATACAATTATATCGATATTATAAATTAATTTATACAGAAATAGAAATGTATTATTATAATAATAAGAATTAATAAAACAATACATTTATACAGAAATAATAATTAAGTATAATTTTTGGAAAACATCCCTGCACTTAGTTACAACTTAAAGCTTCCATCAGAGGATTGATCATTGTATTGATCAGTGTATTGATCAGATGATTGATCAGTGTATTGATCAGTGTATTGATCAGATGATTGATCAGTGTATTGATCAGTGAACAGGTTGTAGTGGAGCTTTGTCCCTCTGCTGCCTGTGGACTGATCTCTATGTGTCTCTATGTAGGATGAGGGTCAAAGGTTGTGACCTTTATGCTCCCGAGTGCCTTCTCTCTCCGCTTCCCTACAGTGCCAACAGTGGGCAACACTAGCTAACGTTAGCTTATAAATGGAGTGTGCTAACAGTGTTGATTTTAGCCAACAATGAATGATGCTAACGCTAACGAGAGAAACATCTGTGTTTTCATCTTAATGACCTCGTTATTATTTTTATTATTATTTTATATTTTATAACCTTCGCTGTGACTCTTCTGCACCAACATACCGAAGTGAATTCCTCCTGTGTGGAAACTGACCAATGAACCTGACTCTGATCAATAAACAGTGAATTTAATCATCAACATTTCAGCTTGAAGGAAAAGACAAAAACTTTCCACTGAAGTGCTTTTAATCTGAAAGTCTCTTCCTGTTTGCTGAGTGTACCTGCCAGCGGCAGGGCGGGGGCCGACTGTTTGCTGACTCAGAGGATTTTCGGAGGTTATGAAATGTTTCTTTCGTCACAGCTGGAGGAGCTCAGACTGCAAAGGCTGCTGGGAAACTGTTTCTGGGTCAGCTGTGATTGATTTTATTTATTTTAGATTTTATCTGCAGATCAGACTGCAAGTGACCTCCGCAACATTCCCACATCCTGACCTGCTGTTCTCTTCCTGTATGTTTGTGGAGTTATGGTTTATTTATTTGGTTGTTGATGATTTAAAATTTCAAACTGCAAACAAATAAAACTTTATTCAGATTTTAATTGTAAGTTTTTATTAATTTTCTTAGGTTTGATGTTTAGTTTAATGTTAGAAATGTTCACTGAATCGATTTCTGCATGTTTGAACCAGAAGTGTTTATATTTTTTATTATTAATTTTCTTCTTTAGAAAACTTGAATCTTCAAAAATGTTTCAGGAAACTGTGAAAAACAATTAATAATTCATTAATATAATAACAAATTATTTTTGTCATTTTAAGTGACGCTGATTTAATTTTGTAATTTTTATTTGTTTTGTGAAAACAAAATACAGAATAAAAAGTAATTAATCAGAAATGTTTCTGTAATTATTTAAAATTACTAATAAAAACAATAAAACAAGACGTTTGTGTATCTTAAAATGTTCAACGTGATCCATTTTTATTTATCTTATTGCATTAAATTATTAGTATTGAGCAGTCTATCTTATTTTATTTTATAATCATTATTTTTTATTATTATATTGATTATTGATCAGAGTGCATATTATTATTGTTGCTATTATTATTATTATTATTATTGATCAGTATATTATTATTATTATTATTGATCAGAGTGTATATTATTATTATTATTATAATTATTATTATTGATCGCAGTGTACAGTGACAGAGCTTCAGTCTCTGATCAACAGCCTCGTCCTGCACCAGAAACCAATCAGCTGATCGATCAATAAACAGTGAATCTGTCAGAAAGAAGAATATTATGTTTGATTGTTAAAATGATAAAAAATACAGAATACAGACAGAGATTGTATCAATATATCAGGAAAACTCATCTAAGATCAATATTCACAGGAAATAATCAAACTTCCTGCAGTGATTGTTGTTGTTTGTTGTTCTGCCCTCCAGGAGGGGGCAGTAACGCCACACAAACTGCCCCAAAGAACAGGAAGTGAATACATGAGGAAGTGCTGAGTCATCGGGCTCAGAGAGCAGAAAGAAACATCGAGGTGAGTGTTAACCGACATGAAATCTGTCAGCTATTACTGGAAGAAACACAAATATATTAATAATGAATAATTATATCAATGTGAGAGCTGAACACCAGCTGTTCATGTCTCTTTATACAAACACTTTTACAGCATTGAACTCAGACGTTAGACCTTCCTGCAGTTCATTAAACAGCGCCACCAGTGGCCGTTCATTAAACTGTAGCTAACAGCGCCACCAGTGGTCGTTCATTAAACTGTAGCTAACAGCGCCTCCAGTGGTCGTTCATTAAACTGTAGCTAACAGCGCCTAGTGGTCGTTCATTAAACTGTAGCAACACGCCACCAGTGGCCGTTCATTAAACAGCAACAGCGCCACCAGTGGCCGTTCATAAACGAGCAACAGCGCCACCAGTGGCCGTCATTAAACGTAGCTAACAGCGCCACCAGTGGTCGTTCATTAAACGTAGCAACAGCGCCACCCAGTGGTCGTTCATTAAACTGTAGCTAACAGCGCCACCAGTGGTCGTTCAGTGAACTGTAGCAACAGCGCCACCAGTGGTCGTTCATTAAACTGTAGCTAACAGCGCCACCAGTGGTCGTTCATTAAACTGTAGCTAACAGCGCCACCAGTGGTCGTTCATTAAACTGTAGCTAACAGCGCCTCCAGTGGTCGTTCATTAAACTGTAGCTAACAGCGCCACCAGTGGCCGTTCATTAAACTGTAGCTAACAGCGCCACCAGTGGCCGTTCATTAAACTGTAGCTAACAGCGCCACCAGTGGTCGTTCATTAAACTGTAGCTAACAGCGCCTCCAGTGGTCGCTCATTAAACTGTAGCTAACAGCGCCACCAGTGGTCGTTCATTAAACTGTAGCTAACAGCGCCACCCAGTGGTCGTTCATTAAACTGTAGCTAACAGCGCCACCAGTGGTCGTTCAGTGAACTGTAGCTAACAGCGCCACCAGTGGTCGTTCATTAAACTGTAGCTAACAGCGCCACCAGTGGTCGTTCATTAAACTGTAGCTAACAGCGCCACCAGTGGTCGTTCAGTGAACTGTAGCTAACAGCGCCACCAGTGGTCGTTCATTAAACTGTAGCTAACAGCGCCACCAGTGGTCGTTCATTAAACTGTAGCTAACAGCGCCACCAGTGGTCGTTCATTAAACTGTAGCTAACAGCGCCACCAGTGGTCGTTCATTAAACTGTAGCTAACAGCGCCTCCAGTGGTCGCTCATTAAACTGTAGCTAACAGCGCCACCAGTGGTCGTTCATTAAACTGTAGCTAACAGCGCCACCAGTGGTCGTTCAGTGAACTGTAGCTAACAGCGCCACCAGTGGTCGTTCAGTGAACTGTAGCTAACAGCGCCACCAGTGGTCGTTCATTAAACTGTAGCTAACAGCGCCACCAGTGGTCGTTCATTAAACTGTAGCTAACAGCGCCACCAGTGGTCGTTCAGTGAACTGTAACTAACAGCGCCACCAGTGGTCGTTCAGTGAACTGCATCCTGGGCGTCGTCCAACAGAGACAAACACTGAACGCTGTAAAATAACTGACAGTCATATTTAGAATAACGTTACTATCTGCAATGTTCCTATATTTTATTTGGACCGTTAGCTCCATGCTAATAACTAGCTCGCCGTTTACAAACCACCCATCAGCCAACACCACGAAGCAACCGACACCAGACCCACAATGCAACACCAAGATACAGCCTGACAACCCCAGTTAGCTTAGCTACAGTTGGCTAGTAACTAGTTAGCTCTTGGCTAGTATAAGGCAATTGTTAGCTTTGTAACATTAGCATAATTTATTGTTGGCTAAAATCAACACCGTTTGTCAAAATACATAAGTTAGCATCATGGATCATGTTAGCTGGGGAAGCTAACGTTAGCCAACTAACATATCCACTCAGTATTTTGCTAGCAATAATGTTACAGAGCGAGCTAACATTAGCCAGTCAGCTGCGACTGAGGAGAATAACCCCTCGTTAGCGCCACCATTACAGCTGATTGTGAGGTGACAAATGAAGATAAAAAGAAGAGAGGGAAAGAAAAGAAAATCCTCTGCTGACCAATCTGTCGTCGTTCTAATGCAGAGATTGTTCACAAGTCTTCAATACATGTGAAACAGGTCTGTTTGGTATTATCACTGGAACATTTATTGATCAGCAAATATAAAGGCTGGGTTTTAAATGTCACTTTCATTACTATTAATCATAGTCCTTTCAGTCTCACCCGGTCCTGGTCCTGGTCCTCTTCAGGCTGATGAAGATGAGTGATGTGGAGGAAGAGGAGCACAGACCTCCAGGATCCAGCTGTCTGTCTGTGAACCTCAGTGAAGAGACGGATCTGATCCAGCATGAGTCCTTTAAAAGGTCTGCTGGAACTGGAACTGCACTATGTTATTGATAAAAGGATGGATTCATTTGGAAGGGCAGGGTGAAGCAAGGGAGCTGCAATCTGAAATGTCACCACTAAATGGCACTAATAAGCTTGATCAATAAACTTTTGTTGAACTAATTTATTTTCTACACAAAATTCTGTTTTCATTATTTTGTGAAAATTAAATAATATTAAATTATTGTGAATGATAATTTTTGAAATACAAAGTTTGGGTTTTTTTGTTTCTAAAACTTTATTTTTTTTTTTATATTTTATTTATTTATTTTGGTGATGAGACCGAAGAAGAAAACTAAATTTATTTCAAAACTTAAGAATTTAATTTTCTGACTTAAAAAAATATTATATACTTTATTGATCCCAAGCTGGGAAATTGCAGTACAATATAGATAGCTGCTTTGAAATTTACAGTTTAAACTAATAATAATTTGTTAAAGATAAGTTATTTTTCTCCTTTACAACAATTTGAATCTTTAAGTTTATCTTTAAAAAAATATATGTCAAAAATAGTTTTAGAAAACTCATTAAAGTAAAAACTGTTAATAATTATAATAATTTATTATTTTCATTTGAAACTAACAAAACTACGTCAACAAAAGATTATAGATTAGTTTGTTTTCTTTAACTTTAGGCTCTTCAATCAGATTATTAACTGAATGTTTTATTGTGTTTGCAGACAGAGAGCAGAGTCTCCGCTGTCCAGCTGTCCGTCCATGAAGAGCGACTGGTCCAAACAGTCTCCTCCAAACTTCAGTCCTGATCCTGGACCCTCAGACAAACAACAAATACTGTAACTAAACAGTAATTTACATTTGAATGATTAATGGGTCAGTCTGGGATGAACTGAGCAGCTGTGGCTTAAATCTGCCTCTGACATCCTCTCCATGGCAATGGCAGCCGGGGCTCATGGGTACTGTAGTATCTAGACTTGATTTCTCAGACTGTAAATAAGAAAATAAACCTGTTTGACTATTACATTGTCCAGGAGAGTTTGAGGACATTGTTTAAAGACAAACATTAAATAGAGAATGAGGACAAACTGTTCCTTCACAGCTCCTTATGGAGACATACAAACTGATCTGAGCTCAGTTTGTGACAAACGTCTGATCAAACAAAGACGTTCTGCTGCTGTTGTTCTCTAATTAATCTGTAATTATCTAATGTGTGTTGGCAGACAGAGAGCAGAGTCTCCGCTGTCCAGCTGTCCGTCCATGAAGAGCGACTGGTCCAAACAGTCTCCTCCAAACTTCAGTGCTGATCCTGGACCCTCAGACACACAGTGAGACCCTGACGTTACTGTAGACTGAGGAGGAGAAATACGTACAGTGTTACATTTATATATCACCTCACAGGCACAGAAAGGGCAACCGCTGACAGCTTGCTGCTGCTATGAACTGTACAATTAGCAGTTAACTAGTGTTTCTGTAGTGGAGACTAAACGTTAACAATGATCCATATCAACAGTTTGAATCCAACTAAAAGCTCCCTGCACCAAACTCCCTTTAAGAAATATCACATTTTAACAATTCCTAACGTGTTTGTAACAACACGTAACTCTAGAAACACGAGCTAAAGGCCGTCATATGTCCACAGTCTGACTGTCAATACAGGATCAATATCATCCATAAAGATACAGTGTATACTGATCAATATCATCCATAAAGATACAGTGTATACTGATCAATAATCAATTAAGATACAGTGTATTCTGATCAGTCAATGCTTTCGATCCATAGAAATGTCTTGGTGTCCACAGACAGAGGAAGAGTCAGGACGTCCTGAAGGATAAAGTCTCTACCAGCTGTGGACTCTCATACTGGGACCAGTCTCGTTCACCAGGAGACTCCTCCTGTCCCCAGTGTGGAGACAGATCCGGAACCAGAGCTGGACTGCAGACAGACAGCGAGACCAGTTCTGTACAAAGTAGGACTGAACATCTGGATTTAAAATGTGTCACGTGATCAATTTAATATGATTCCTTCTTCTTATGGATTCACTTGGAACTAAATAATCAGACTCAGGATTTCACAGGTTGTTTTTGGGATTGTTGCAGCTGATTTAACGGCAGATTTACTCAATTTCCCTCCGGGGATTAATAAAGTCTTACTATCTATTTAAAAGTTATTGCAGAAATAGTTGTTATTTTATTTGTATAATTCATTAAAAACTGAAGGCAACTTTTTTACAGTGAGAATATAACCTTTAGTAGTTTGGTGACTCAGTATTTGGATGTGAAACACAGAAAAGATGTAGTGAAGGTCAAACAGAATTAACTTTCTTTCATCACAACGCGGGTCGTAATTCTTTAAAAATCTGCTGTTAAACAGAATCAACAGTGTCCATCAGAACTAATAATTTCTTCTCTTCCAGCAGATGGTGGTCTGCAGGAGGTTTTAGAAGAACATAAGATCAGTCTGAGGAAGAGATGTGAACGTGTGACTGAAGGAGCTGATGAACCAGGAAGTGGAACCCTCCTCAACAGGATCTACACTGAGCTCTACATCACAGAGGGACAGAGTGAAGAGGTTAATACCCAACATGAGGTGAGACAGCTTGAGACAGCCTCTAAGAAGAAGATCCTCCATGAGACTCCAATCAGGTGCAATGACATCTTTAAAGCCTTACCTGACCAACAGAGACACATCAGAGTGGTTCTGACAAACGGTGTCGCTGGCGTTGGAAAAACCTTCTCAGTGCAGAAGTTCACTCTGGACTGGGCAGAGGGCTTGGAAAACCAAGATGTCAGTCTGGTGGTTCTGCTTTCATTCAGGGAGCTGAACCTGATCAAAGATGAGCAGTACAGTCTTCTCACGCTGCTCCATGTTTTCCATCCAACATTACAGAAGGTCACAGCAGAGCAGCTCACTGTCTGTAAACTTTTGTTCATCTTTGACGGCCTGGATGAAAGCAGACTTTCACTGGATTTCCACAACAATGAGATTGTGTCTGACGTCATACAGAAGTCTTCAGTCAGCGTGCTGTTGACAAACCTCATCAAGGGGAATCTGCTTCCCTCGGCTCTCTTCTGGATAACTTCCAGACCTGCAGCAGCCAATCAGATCCCTCCTAAATGTGTTGATAGGGTAACAGAAGTACGAGGCTTCACTGACACCCAGAAGGAGGAGTACTTTAGGAGGAGGGTCAGTGATGAAGATCTGTCCAACAGGATCATCTCCCACATCAAGACCTCCAGGAGCCTCCACATCATGTGTCTAATCCCAGTCTTCTGCTGGATCACTGCTACAGTTCTGGACCACATGTTGACTACAGACCAGAGAGGAGAGCTGCCCAAGACCCTGACTGACATGTACTCACACTTCCTGCTGGTTCAGACAAAGAGGAAGAAGCAGAAGTATGAAGAGGGACATGAGACGAGTCCACAGGAGCTGATCGAGGCTGACAGGAAGGTTCTTCTGAAGTTGGGGAGGCTGGCGTTTGAGCAGCTTGAGAAAGGAAACATCATGTTCTACCAAGAAGACCTGGAGCAGTGTGGTCTTGATGTCACAGAGGCCTCGGTGTACTCAGGAGTTTGTACAGAGATCTTCAAAAGAGAGAGTGTGATCTTCCAGAAAACAGTCTACTGCTTCGTTCATCTGAGCATTCAGGAGTTTCTGGCTGCAGTCTACATGTTCCACTGTTACACCAACAGGAACACAGAGGTACTGGAGGACTTCCTGGGAGAAGAGGGGGATGATGATGATGTGGAGGATGATGATGATGATGATGATGATGATGATGATTATGACTATTACCCATCCCTGGATGACTTCCTGAACAGAGCCATGGAGAAATCCCTTCAAAGTAAAAATGGCCACCTGGACCTGTTTGTTCGCTTCCTTCATGGCCTCTCTCTGGAGTCCAACCAGGGACTCTTAGGAGGTCTGCTGGGTCGGACAGACAACAGTCCAGAAATCATCCAGAGAGTCATCAACCACCTGAAGCAGATGAAAGCTAAGTTAATCTCTCCAGACAGAAGCGTCAACATCTTCCAATGTCTGATGGAGATGAAGGACCACTCTGTCCATCAAGAGGTCCAAGAGTTCCTGAAGTCCAATCAGGAACTCTCTGTGATCCACTGCTCAGCTCTGGCCTACATGCTGCAGATGTCAGAGGAGGTTCTGGATGAGTTGGACCTGGACAAGTACAACACATCATGGGAGGGACGACTGAGACTGATTCCAGCTGTGAGGAACTGCAGAAAGGCTCGGTAAGTCCAAACTGTAACATTGTTATGTAAAGGGTAATGACCCACGAGCCGTCCAGTATCAGAAAATAATGGACGATGTGGAGGCCAGAAGCTTTATCTTGTACCGTAGTTTGCCAAATAAGGTCATTATTTTATATTTTCATGTGTTTTTCAATCAAATCTGAAGTTTGCATACAAGCCATAACTCCGTTTCCCTGGGAACATCTGAGGTCATTCCTAATACCTGGAAGAATTATTACCATCCCATAATGTTCTAATGCAATGGAAACGTTCACTACTCCAGCAAATAGGATGAACATTAGAGTCAACTTGGCAACAAGATATATTGCTTCCACTCAGAGAGCTAACATAGCGCTACGAACCAAAGAGCTAACGTTATCCTACGAACCAGAGAGCTAACGTAGCGCTACACACCAGAGAGCTAACGTAGCGCTACGAACCAGAGAGCTTCAGTTCCCCGTCAGAAAGAGCTGACTGACAGCGAGGTAGAGTGGTGAAAATATACATAATAACTATATTTATATTTACACTTGAACTGATGTAGAATTTTTTAAATTTGCTACGTTTGGCTGCTGCCCAGTCAACAGAAGAACTCGTTTTTCTGTAGTTTTCTGCACAGTTTAACAGCTTTGTGATAAAAGCTCCTTGCGGTGTCTTGGTTTGATGGATTTTAGTAATCATAAACTTTGTGTCCGTGCTTTCAATATAGAATCAATCTCAAAATCAGACTTCTAAACACCTCTTACAAAACTGTTACTGATTATTCCGGATGTGACCAAATGTTTTGAATCTTTTGGTATTTAAAAGTATTGTCTTTGTTGTTAGTGTACGTCTGTTCAATTAGTGTTTGTTTTACTTTACATTAGTTTTGTATTCCCAGACTTCCTGAATGTTGGCTCTCAGAGAGTCACTATGAAGTGGTGGTCTCCGCTCTGAGGGCCAACCCCTCCCACCTGAGAGACCTGGACCTGAGAGGAAGCAGGCTGCAGGATTCAAGAGTGAAGCTGCTGTGTGCTGGACTGGAGAGTCCACAATGTAGACTGGAGTCACTCTCGTCAGTTCACTTATTGTCTTTTGCTCTGATAGATTTTAAACTGACCAAAGCAAACATCGTTATTACCTGAGATAGTCACAAAATCTGAAACAATCATTTGTGTAGGAATGTGATTGTTTTTGTAAAAATAGGAACAAAACCAAAAGTGTTTTCTTCTGTTTGTGTTTAATCTCTAACTTCTCTGATTCAAATGGTATCCATTTAAATGACAGACTTGCTAATTGTGGACTGACTGAGATCAGCTGTGGCTCTCTGGCCTCGGCGCTGACGTCCAACCCCTCCCACCTGAGAGAACTGGACCTGAGCAGAAACAACCTGCAGGATTCAGGTGTGAAGCTACTCACTGCTGGACTGGAGGGTCCACAGTGGAGACTGGACACTCTCAGGTCAGTTTCAATTCAATTCAATTCAATTCAATTTTATTTGTGTAGCACCAATTCATAACAGAAGTTATCTCAGGACACTTTTCAAAAGGAGCAGGTCTAGACCGAACTCTTTATAACATTAATTACAGAGACCCAACAGTACCACCATGAGCAAGCACTTGGCGACGGGGGGCAAGGAAAAATTGCCTTTTAGGAGGCAGAAACCTAGGACAGACCCTTCGGCTCTAGGTGGGTGGTCTGCCTCGACTAGTTGGGGTGAGAGCGAGAGAGAGAGAGACAGAGACAGACAGACAGTTGCACAGCAAACCTGTTACTTAAACTGGACCTCTGGATTTTAACTTGTGTCTCACTGGTCTCACGAAGCAAACCCATTCCATGCTAACATGCTATTTAGTATGCTTAAACAGTGTGTGAGATATTCTGTCTGAAACCAATATACTGTATACAATGTAAAGTGCATAGTTTTATATTTTCATTATGTAATTAAACACTTTTGTTTTAGATTTCTCTTTGTACCATTAGAGGGAGCTTGTGTACCACCAATAGTACACATACCAACGTTTGAGAACCAGTACTACACAATTGGATTAGTTTATGAGTAAGATTTTCTGAATGTTTCAGACTGAGTGAGTGCAGTCTGTCAGAAATCAGCTGTTCCTCTCTGGCCTCGGCTCTGAAGTCCTCCCATCTGAGAGACCTGGACCTGAGTCACAACAACAACCTGCAGGATTCAGGAGTAAAGCTTCTATCTGCTGGACTGGAGAGTCCACAATGTAGACTGGAGACCCTGAGGTCAGCTTTTTCTTCTTGTAGATTTTAAATCTTAATGTGGAAAGTCTAACTTTCACTGACAGACAGATTTCTCTGAGTTTGAACATTGACAGAAACATTTGGGATAATGTAAGAACCCAACTCCATGTAGAACATAGCTCTACTGTTCATTGATTATAGATTATTGATTGAATCAGCTCCATATAGAATATAACTCTAGAGTTTATACACTGTTGGGGAGAACATGTTATAGATTATAGATTTTAATAATAGTTATTGTGTAAAACCATTAAACTGTGGTATTTTCTGAGATGACTATTGCACTGTGAAACTCTCACTTGGTTGTAATCCTGGAGTCTGGAGGGTTGGAGGATGTCAGTGTGTGACAGGGTGATAATCTGGATCCTGTGATTACAGACTGAATCACTGTGAGCTACCATCAAGCTGCTGTTCCTCTCTGGCTTCGGTCCTGATGTCCAGCCCCTCCCGTCTGAGAGACCTGGATCTGAGTTACAACAGACTGCAGGATACAGGAGTGAAGCTGCTGTCGGCAGGGCTGGAGAGTCCACATTGTAGACTGGAGACTCTGAGGTAGACGATATATTTTGCTCCTGTTTGGGATCTGACAGTCTACGGTTGGTTAAACTCATTTCCTGTCTGCAGGTTGATGTGCTGCCTGCTCACAGGTGGAAGTTGTTCCTCTCTGGCCTCGGCCTTGAGGTCCTCCCATCTGAGAGACCTGGACCTGAGTCACAACAAGCTGCAGGATTCGGGAGTGAAGCTGCTGTCGGCAGGGCTGGAGAGTCCACAATGTAGACTGGAGACTCTGAGGTACAGAATCTGTTCTTCCTCCGTACAGTCTGAGAGCCACTGATGTTTGATGAACTCTTCCTCTCTGCAGGCTGAGGGACTGTCACATCACAGATGATGGTTGTGGTTCTCTGGCTTCTGCTCTGAAGTCCAGCTCCTCCCATCTGACAGACCTGGACCTGAGGCTCAACAGAGTGCAGGATTCAGGACGGAAGCTACTGAAATCCACATTGTGGACTGAAGACTGTAAGGTCAGTAGTTTTCTGGTCAGAGTTCAGGAAGAAGCCAATGAATGTAACAGTGTCTTCCTTGACCGCTAACTTTTCTGAAGGATCTGTCCTAGGTTTCTGCCTTTTAACAGGCAGTTTTTCCTTGCCCTTGTCGCCAAGGTCTTGCTCATGGTGGTACTGTTGGGTCTCTGTAATTAATGTTATAAAGAGTTCGGTCTAGACCTGCTCTATTTGAAAAGTGTCCTGAGATAACTTCTGTTATGAATTGGTGTTATACAAATAAAATTGAATTGAATTGAAATTGTTGTTATTGTTATCATGGGGTTGTTATTATGGGGCTATTGTTGTTATTGTTATTATGGGGTTATTGTTGTTATGGGGTTATTGTTATTATGGGGTTATTGTTGTTATGGGGTTATTGTTGTTATTGTTATTATGGGGTTATTGTTGTTATTGTTATTATGGGGTTATTGTTGTTATGGGGTTATTGTTATTGTTATTATGGGGTTATTGTTGTTATGGGGTTATTGTTATTATGGGGTTGTTGTTGTTATGGGGTTATTGTTATTATGGGGTTATTGTTGTTATAGGGTTATTGTTGTTATTGTTATTATGGGGTTATTGTTGTTATGGGGTTATTGTTATTATGGGGTTATTGTTGTTATGGGGTTATTGTTGTTATTGTTGTTATGGGGTTATTGTTGTTATGGGGTTATTGTTGTTATTGTTATTATGGGGTTATTGTTATTATGGGGTTATTGTTGTTATGGGGTTATTGTTGTTATTGTTGTTATGGGGTTATTGTTGTTATGGGGTTATTGTTGTTATTGTTGTTATGGGGTTATTGTTGTTATGGGGCTATTGTTGTTATTGTTGTTATGGGGCTATTGTTGTTATTGTTATTATGGGGTTATTGTTATTATGGGGTTATTGTTATTATGGGGTTATTGTTGTTATTGTTATTATGGGGTTATTGTTATTATGGGGTTATTGTTGTTATGGGGTTATTGTTGTTATGGGGTTATTGTTGTTATGGGGTTATTGTTGTTATGGGGTTATTGTTGTTATTGTTGTTATTGTTATTATGGGGCTATTGTTGTTATTGTTGTTATGGGTTATTGTTGTTATTGTTATTATGGGGTTATTGTTGTTATGGGGTTATTGTTGTTATTGTTATTATGGGGTTATTGTTGTTATTGTTATTATGGGGTTATTGATAAACTTCACACGTCTGATAAGAGAATATTCAGTCGTACTCATAGCGCCCCCTACTGGAAACAGAAAGTTAGCATTAGCAATCATCCTCTAATGTACGTGACATTTTCAGGGTGTGGTCGACGTGCTGGCGTATGACTGACACTGTGTTGGTTGTTGATCCCTACAGGTTGAAGTGACCCTGGACTGTAGAGACGGATGACGTCATCCATCAACCTGGACCCGTCGGTCATCTTCCTTCACTGATTGACTCTCATCCTTCTGCACTTCCTCTTGAAGCTGCAGTGTGGGAACCTTCCCACCGCCAGCTCAACAACTGTGTATACCTGTACCGCAGTATGGATGAGAGCTCGGTAATCCGGCTGCTGGTAAATGTACATTCAGAGGGCAATACCATAGAATAAGAATACCGTATTGAGCCTGAATCCTACAGCCAGCAGCACAAACAATCATGTTGTGTCATTATTGATCAACGACAAACATTCAGAAACAGTTATTGATGATTCTGACATAAACAACCACTTTATTAACTGTTTGTGTTTATTAATCCACCTTTTACGTCGAGACCACAGAAGAACAGGAGGGTTTATCTCCACTTCCTGTTACTCTCTGCTGTTTCCAAGGTTCATTATTAGAAGGTAGGTCAGCTGAGTTTATGGGAATTATTAAGGTTCAAATCCCCTCTGCTCCACACTGTCACACCAACGACATCATGAGGAGCCGTCTCACTGTAAGGTAACAAACACACATTGACTCTTGCATCATCACTCTCCTTCTCTGCTGCTGAAACCCTCATCCACGCCTTCATCACCTCCAGAACCGACTACTGCAACAGCATCCTCTACGGCACACCATCCAAACTCTGAATAAGCTACAGTACATCCAAAACTCCGCTGCACGTATGCTCACCCACACCCGCACCCGTGAAATCACACACATTCAAAGTAACCTAGTAACCAACAGACGCTCTGGCAGTAGGAACACCGTCACGAGCTCCTTTAATACAGAAACAATCAGTTCAACCTCAGAGCTTCTGTATGTAACCGTCATTAAACTGTTAACAGCGCCGCCAGCCGGACAACCAGCATAGCTTAGCTACAGTTAGCTAGCTGGATGCCCCTGCCACGCAGAAAGCTATTGTTAGCTTTGTAACATTATAATAAATACGTTAGCACCATCACATTACCTGGTAAGCTACTGTTAGCACAAGTTAGCTTAAGCCTCAGTCTGTTAACATGACTTTTGGCTAGTAGAAAGCAATCGTTAGCTTTGCACCGTTACATCGTTTATTGTGGGTGTCAGAATACGTACGTTAGGGTTAGCATTAGCTACTTAGCTACCTACATTGTCAGTGTTAGCAAGCAAGCTAACATTATCCAGCTAACAGCACAATCAGACAGTATGTTCCACTAGCTTAGCATTAGTGGGGGACTCTGTGTGGGGGACTCTGTGTGGGGGACTCTGTGTGGGGGACTCTGTGTGGGGGACTCTGTGTGGGGGACTCTGTGTGGTGGACTCTGTGTGGTGGACTCTGTGTGGTGGACTCTGTGTGGTGGACTCTGTGTGGTGGACTCTGTGTGGTGGACTCTGTGTGGTGGACTCTGTGTGGTGGACTCTGTGTGGTGGACTCTGTGTGGTGGACTCTGTGTGGTGGACTCTGTGTGGTGGACTCTGTGTGGTGGACTCTGTGTGGTGGACTCTGTGTTGCCCACTGTTGGCACTCGGGAGCATAAAGGTAGAAATGCTTCAGATTGTTACGTAATGCTCCTTTAATGTGTGAATTCTCTGAATGTTTAAGCTGTGATGAACACGTGATGAACTGGAGCCTCTTATGATTGTATGACTCATGTTTGTAGTCGTTGATACTTTTGGATATAAATTAAATTAAAGAGGTTAAACACTCTCATGCTGGTGTGTGTGTGTGTGTGTGTGTGTGTGTGTGTGTGTGTGTGTCTCTGTTGGTAGACGGGTTCTCAGCAGTGTGTGTGTGTGTGTGTGTGGAACAAACATGTTTCATCACAGCTAACAGTTCCCATTGAGAAAACAGCCACTGATGCTAATGCTAACAGAGTACACATTGTGGAAGAGACTACATTACCCAGAAAACCACAGACACAAACCTGTGTAAACAAATCCATCGTGTTTTATTTGAGAGAGAAACAAGAGTTCAGAGGTTAGAGCAGAGAGGAGGAGAGGAGAGGGGGATTGTGGGTAATAACTGATATACTAACATCAGCGTGCACACACACACACACACACACACACACAGAACTACTTCCTGTCTGCACAAGAAGTCAGCAGAGAGGATCATGGGAAGCTGTCGTCGTCGTCTTCGGCCATTTCTTTGGCAAACTCCAGATCCTGCTGCTCGCGCTCCCGACGCTCCTGAACACACACACACACACACACACAATAATAGTTAATTACATTAAATGAATCGAAGCTCAGATATTAAACCTTCACACCAACGTGACTGAAGCTGGTGTGTGCGTGCGTGCGTGCGTGTGTGTGTGTGTGTGTGTGTGAGAGAGAGAGAGAGAGAGAGAGAGGTGTGTGTGTGTGAGTGTGTGTGTGTGTGTGTGTGTGTGTGAGAGTGTGTGTGTGTGTGTGTGTGTGTGAGTGTGTTACCTCTGCTGACTCCAGGTCTTTGTTGTAAGCTTTAGGAGGAAACCTCATCGCCTGCAGACACAGAGAGAGCTCAGAGTTATTTCACTGTCCCACCAATAACTGTTGTTAAGTTATTATTAACAGTTAGTTATTATTATAATAATATTTTTTTTCATAACAATTAATAATAATAATAATAATAATAACTGTTGTTAACAGTTATTATTAACAGTTAGTTATTATTAACATTATTATTATTATTATTATTATTATTACAGTCATTATTATTATAAAAGTTAGTTATTATTATTATTATTATTATTATTATTATTATTATTAACAGTCTAGTTGTTATTATTTTATTATTATTAACAGTTAGTTATTATTATTATTGTACAAAAGGCTTTTATTTTGAAGGTGCGTTTAGGAAAGTGACGTAATCACCCCGTGTGGAGCAGTGAGCCGTACAACCTACAGCCGAGTCGACGGACTTTTTTCCCTTTCCTGCCTTTTACACCTGGACACACCTGTGGGGACTTTTAGTGTATTTTTCGCCTTTAACTCAGGTTGTTTTTGTTTGGAGTGTGTTTTTCATTGTGCTGAGTAAGTATTGTTTCTATAAAGTGTTAATTATGACGCACCTCGTTAACTCTGGTGTGTTTTTTTCCGCCGATAGGTAACAGATGATTGTTAATGAGTATAATGTGAATGTTGATGCTTGTGAGTGGTTTAAGTGTCCATTGAGCTAAGAGTCGGTAACTTGACTTAGTTCAGGTGGTTAATTGCTCAGCAGGGGGCCGACACGTGCGCCATGTGCCATAGTTTATTTAATACCCGGTTTAGCCGGTAGATGGCGCTATTGGACCAGTTAACCCATATTTATGGTGAATATATATTTCTGTTGGGTTATTTATGTCATTATTGTTGTTGCACATGTACAGGAGAGTTGTATATATTTTTCTGTTTATGTAAGCACATTTGTTATTATGGAGATGGAGGTATAATGTGATTTATTATTATTATTATTATTATTATTATTATTATTACCAGAACTGTGACAACACTGAGTGTGCAATAAATCACCGCAGTCATCAAATCTGCTGGCAAAGGAAACATCCTGTCCTCATTCCGGTGTCCTGACCGACACCGCATCTTGTTGCTGTATAAACCTGAACGAGCTAGCATTCCTTCCCTCACAAACAATTATTATAATTATTATTATTATTATTAACAGTTAATATTATTATTATTATTATTATTAACAGTTATTATTAATATTATTATTATTATTAACAGTTATTATTAATATTATTATTATTATTATTATTAACATTATTATTATTATTATTATTATTATTAACATTATTATTATTATTATTATTATTATTAACATTATTATTATTATTATTATTATTATTATTAACAGTTATTATTATTATTATTATTATTATTATTATTATTATTAACAGTTATTATTATTATTATTATTATTATTATTATTAACAGTTATTATTATTATTATTATTATTATTAACAGTTATTATTATTATTATTATTGTTAATATTATTATTATTAATATTATTATTATTATTAACAGTTAATATTATTATTATTATTAACAGTTAATATTATTATTATTATTAACAGTTAATATTATTATTAACAGTTAATATTATTATTAACAGTTAATATTATTATTATTATTAACAGTTAATATTATTATTAACAGTTAATAGTTATTATTATTATTATTATTATTATTATTATTATTATTATTATTATACAGTTATTATTTACAGTTAGTTATTATTATTATTAACTGTAAATAGTTATTAATAGTTAATATTAATTAGTAATAATTAATAATAGTAGTTATTAGCTGTCCCTCAGTAACAGATAGAACTATGAGCCTCCTACCTTCACAGACATGTTGTGGATGTCGAGGCAGAACGAAATTCTCTGGTGGAAAGCCAGCTGAGGCTCTCTGGTCCCGTAGATGTCCATGGTCTCTTTTGACTGGACGAAGCCTTTCTCGTGGTTGATGCTCGCCTCGATCACGCCGTCACGGATCGCCTGGAGGAGGGACAGACACACACACACACACACAAACACACACACACACACACACACACACAGTCTGTCAGCGGCCGAATCACTCTGACCTCAGGGGGTAGCTAACGTCTGAATGAGTCTGGTGGGAGACACCTGAGCTCTACTGCGCCCTCCAGTGGCAGTGAGTGTCGATTACAACCTTCAACACAAATACAACCCGTCTGAGGTCCCGGGGGGGGTAAGGTCAGGGGTTACACAGAGCGCCTGCGAGTGTTTGTTGTTTATAATGAAGATCAATTATTTCTCTGTTACCTTGGCGACGATGAATTCGGCATCCTCTGGACTGTCAAGCTGCAGCTTCTGAGCGATGTCGGCCAGAGAGATACGAGAGTACGACAAGCTGATCATACGCACACCTAACACACACACACACACACACACACACAGTCAATGTTGTCGATCAATAAACATCAGATTACTGTGTGTGATGTCACAGCTGATGTGGGCTGTGATTGGCTCACCAGTCTTGATGACATTGTGTCTCAGGCGGATGATGAGTGTGTACGTCCCGTCGGTCTGAAACTTCTCCCCAAACTGCTCCAACGCCTGGTTGAACTTCGCCAGGTTGCCCGTCCTCACCGCTGCTCACAGTACACACACAGTACACACACACAGTATGTAAAGAGTACACACACAGTACACACACACACACAGTATGTAAAGAGTACACACACAGTACACACACACACACACAGTATGTAAAGAGTACACACACAGTACACACACAGCATGTAAAGAGTACACACACAGTACACACACACAGTATGTAAACAGTGCACACACACAGCATGTAAAGAGTACACACACAGTACACACACACACACAGTATGTAAACAGTGCACACACACACACACACACACACACACTACTAGAGTAGGTAGAGGGGTGTAACTGACCCTGAGTCAGCAGGAAGTAGGGCATCAGTGACCTCTTCAGTGACGGTTGTCTGAACTGCAGTCTGTCAGGAATCTCTCCCAACAGCAGCTCCACCACGATCAGCAGCTTGTGGACCTGCAGGCACATCAGGGGTTAATGTATAAATGTATATTAATGTATATATTAATGTATATGAATGTCTATATTACTGTAAATTACTCTATATGTATATATTACAGTGTATTAATGTATATATTACAGTGTATTAATGTATATATTAGTGTATTTATGTATATATTACAATGTATTAATGTATATATTAGTGTATATTAATGTTTATATTAGTGTATTAAAGTATATATATTACTGTATATTAAAGTATATATATTACAGTGTATTAAAGTATATATTACTGTATAGTAGAGGTGGGTGATATATATCGTTTATAATATATCATCATTGTTGTTTTGACGATGTGCAAATTGTCATTATCGAGTATTTAAATTACTTCGACAAAAACAATGAAACGCCCGCGGAAACTCCTCCCATCCATTAATACACGGTGCAGCAGCGCTCTCTACAGCATGGCAGGATTCAGTCACACAACTAGTGGGCCTACGTTATCACATGACGTGATCACGTGACCTCTCGCTAGCATCCTCCTTGCAACAGTTTAGCAGCGCGTTGCGATGGTAGAGAGAAAATGCAAACACCTCCAGTCCCTGAAGCTCCCGGTACTTCAGATGATTTAGTGCCGAGACGTGGGTCCTATGGGCTTCAGCGTTCAGAGCGCTAAGAACCTTCAGCGGTAAAAAGATGTCAGCGGAGACGGTTTATTTTTTAGCGCAGCGCTCAGAGCGCTTCAAGTTGAAATCTGTTCAACTTTTAACACCGCTGGGCGCTCGGATAATGAGTTTATGAGCTCTCTCAGCGCTGTAAACGCGTTTGGTGGACACAAGTCCAGCTCAGACAATTCTAATCACATTTTAAAGGATATCGACTGATTATCGTTATCGCCAAAATCCCAAAAAATATTGAGATATTATTTTTTGCCCATATCGCCCACCCCTACTGTATATTAATGTATATATTACAGTGTATATTAATGTATATATTACAGTGTGTATTACTGTATATTAATGTTTGTATTACTGTATATTAATGTATGTATTACTGTATATTAATGTATGTATTACAGTGTATATTAATGTATATATTACAGTGTATATTAATGTATATATTACAGTGTATTACTGTATATATTACAGTGTATTACTGTATATTCATGTTTGTATTACTGTATATTCATG